CTGTAGTTGTTAAACAAACAACGTGTTTGTTAAGCAAACGCTGTGGTCATTAAGCAAATGCTGCGTTCATTAAGTGAACCCATTGTAACCTGTGGGCGTTTATTGCCGGAAATGGGAAGCAATGCCAGTTTCTGGTACAAATGTTGTAAATCATGTGACCTCACCATGATGCGAACGGCTGTAAATGTGAGCCAGTTGCCAAGTACCCAAAACAAGATCATCTGAACACAGAGGGGTGTTTGTGGCCATTGGAATTTCAAAATTGGTTTATAATTAGTCTGGGGAGGCCTTGGATTACTTCTAACAGTTGCTGAGTGACCAGTCATAAGTTGAGGACTACCTGTAAAGGTGTTGCTCTCCTCCAAACTTCAGTGGTACTTTTTATTTTCCCCATTTCTTCCTAAAACGTATGCAAAAGAACTATCATACATATAAGCAGTAGATGTACATTCTTTAGTCAACCAACTTCTTCTTAGGGATCTGAAAATAAGGAATGTATGCTTCAATGTGCTCAAATTTCAAGATTATACATGCTACTAACTAATTTTTGTGTTCTAGAAATGCATTTTTAAATTAGCTTATATAAAAAAAGTTCCATGCAAGCTAAGACTGTGCCCCTGTGGACAAGGGCCATTGAAACTACAACTCATATCCTGTTGTATTGCCCCCTGATTAAATATTCTGGAAATTCTGATCTCTTTTATGTAGAATTACTATTGTCAGATCAGTAGGATTCAATTTTTCTGAACGTAGCTAAGTTTTGTTACACTGTCTGTAAAATTAGGCAGATCTTGGTCATCCACTGATGACTTCACCATCAATTGTAATGAATTACTATGCTCTGTTCTCTTCACTTTTACATTATTTTATTTTAATGTTTAATTTTTTGTGCTACTGGTCTGTGACTATAATAAAGATTGACTGATCATTTGTTTTTGATTAATTTAATAGCACAGAGGATTTGAGATTCCTATATGTCAGGCAAGCTAGAACATCCTTTCCCTTGATCCTAGCAAGTTATTTAAAAGTAAGGCAAAATACTATTCTACTTCCTCACCTTAAATAACACATTACTATAGGTTAAAAAAAGACTTCATTTTTTTCAAGAATCACATATCAAAAAAACATTGTTGATTATACTCAGTGACTTGTAAGGCCAACCTGACTGATATCCTGCCTTTATTATTTTTTTATAAATAACTCAAGGCAGCAAACATCCTAATATCTTTTCCTCCTCCTATATTCTCTACACCTTCCTGTGAGGTGAGTTAAGGCAGAACTAGAATTCACAATCTTCTGGTTTCTAGCTCAGTGCCTTAACCGCTAGACCAAACTGGATATATTTCCCTATAAGTATCAACAGACATGAATTTACATCTATTTACACTACATTGGGTTCTAGCTTCCAGTTGCTCCTGCTGCAGTTGCAAGCCAAACAGGGACACTCAGTGTGCAAGCAGTGAGCTATGACATTGAAGTGACTGCATTTTACTGCCTTGTATGGCAAAGAATGGTCATTGTTATAAATTATGCTATTTCTTGATCTCCCGATGTAGTGGTTTAGCAAGAATAAAACTACGCAATCTAAAACCATCTCTATCCATTGGACCGGATGGAATATGTGCCTATTTCTTAAAAAAGCTATCCACTGCTATAGCTGAACCTCTAAGCATAATCTTTGAAAAAATCTTTTAGGACCAGCTCCTTGCCAAAACTCACAAGCCATGGTCATCCCCATCTTCAAAAAGGGAGACCCCAGCTGTCAGTCTGTGCTCCCTCTAAATCCCAAGAAAGAAATACTCAGACTCCATGGTGTAGAACAAAGTCATCCTTTTACTGGGAAATAAAGTGGAAACGACAGAGCCAACTCCGAAACTAAGAAATTGGCGGGTAGAACACATATACAAAGGAATAGAATTGCTCCTACCCCCCAAAGTTCAAATGATTCTTCCAATTAAAACTTCTGAATATGATCATGT